CGGGACGGGGCCGCTCCCGCAAACCGGCACCGCTCCCGTCAACCGGCACCGCTCCCCACCCGCCTCTCCCACAAACCGGCACCGTGCAGGACCCGCCGGTCCCGCCCCCGTGCACCGCTCCCCACCCGCTCGGGACTCGCTGCTCCCGCCCCCGGGCGCCGCTCGGGACCCGCCGCCCTCCCGCCAAGCGGCGGCACCTCCTCCGAGGCCGGGTGAGGGGGAGCGGGGCAGGAGCGGTGCCCTGAGGGGACACCGCTGTCCCGGGAAGGCCGCAGCCGGCACAAGGCTCCCGCCCTGCGGCCGGGGCACGGCGCTCGGGAACGGGCTCTCCCTTTGGGCATTTCGGGTCCAGGAGCGCTCCGGCTCCAGGGTTGGCACAGCGTTCTTTGCGAACTCCCAACTCTTAACTACGAGTTCACTGCATCGAGTGCCAGCGTGTACTTCTTACTCTCAGATTCAAAGGTTTTTTCCAAGGCATTGGACAAAATTACAACATTTCACGTTTGAAGAATAAAAATACATATTATGGTTCTGAACGAAAGGCAAAAGAAAAAAAATCTTCATTTACTTCAGCAGGATTCTTTCATAATTGCATAGTGGATAACCTATATTGGAGGCCAGAAAATGAACACTTAGTGTCCCTGTAAGGCTCACAACTTTTGGTGCAAAAGGGATGTGAAAATGTGAAAGCCAAAGCAAAGAGCTATCTTTGGCAGCTCCCGGGAATGCTCGGAGGTGAACAGTGCCTGCTGAAAATAGCCATTCTTGCAGTGACTAGAAAATGCAAATACAGGATTTTAGTTTTATAAGTAACTAGCAAAACATTAAAAGCCCATCATTTGTTTTCTTCGTTAAAAGTATACAAGTGCTGTAGTTGTTGAACAGATTCCTTAGCTACTTACACCAAGTACCTTCAATCCTCAGAAGCGTAGCCATACATATGTCACCTTGAAAGCAGCCACTGACCTTAAAAATAGGAAGTTTTCATGCTTGCAAGGTGTGCAAAGAACAGGCATTTTAATCTGGCCCGTTTATTTTATTAACCTCTTTTTAGTTTAGCTGTAAATCAGAAAATATAAATAACCTATCTGCTCACAAATGGCCTGGTAGCCTCCAGGGTATTAAAAGAAGATAAGCTAATAATTATTAGTAGTTCTTAGAAGTGTTTGGGGACCCAGCAAATCTAAACAGGTAAATTAGTATCTGTAACTACAATTTACATAAATTACAGAAACATAACACCCTATATTTATCTAACTGCAGAAACATGGTGTTCATTATCTAGAGGTAATAAACCCCACAAATAGGGTGTTCATCCTGTGGATAAATTAAGACTGTCTCCCTGAGAATACGATGTCTGAGAATCTGATGTTCGGTCTCTGTGAGAATTCAATGCTGGTGAAGAGAATATTACAGGTGTGTTGATATATTGAAATAATTCTGCTGTGTTTTACATTGTTTAAATAGAATTTTCGTATACAAGAAAAAAATGGAAATACCAATCTGGTGCCATTTAAGGCCGTGTTGATCCATTATATATCTCCAACCACGTCAAATTGCTTTATCAATTTTGAATTGGTAGAGCTTTTAAAATCACTTTCAGCTTGTGCATGTCTGAACAAGCAGTTCAATTGATTGGTGTTTGGATCAAACAATCTCTGAAGTCTTGCTTATTTACCAACCAGCACACCAAGTTTTCCACATCACTTGCTTTAACATGATATGTCTTTGCAGTTGTACAGAATTATTTTTCTGTATTAATTACCTAAGTCTGGGACAGATCATCACAAAAATTACTCAGTATTAATTGATAAATTCTCCAGCAATTCCAGATCACTGCACCACACTGTGCATCTTAAATCCCAATAGATATCAAAAATGTACAAAGAATCCCAGTTCACAGAGTGACGGTTCAGCAAAAAACACCATAGGAAGAGGTTACTTGAATACTCTGAAGGGAAAAAAAAAGGTTATAAAATCTGTCACCTTATTCTCTCTCTCGTTTCTGGTTTCTGTGGTTTTTGGTACTTGCCAAGCATTCGACCATGATTCCTGGGATTGCACCAAGTGGTTTTCCACCCCAGTACAAAGCAGCTGCAAATCCCTTTGATTCTGAAATCAGATGATTTTAACACATTAGTAATACAGATTTAGATCATATTAAGAGCCACAAAGACACAAGGGAGGGTTGCATGCTCAAGGAGCAAACTTGTGTGCTTCCTCCAGACATTGCTTCAGTAGACTTTTATGAATGCAAATGTAAAAATTTGAAAACTAAATTTGAAATTTGAAATTAATCAGAGTATATTGTTACAATTTAAATAACCACAAATTACTATTTTACTTTCCCTTATTACTCTAACAATGCAAAACACATCTAATTTCTTCAAAAGTTTAAGAGCTAATTTGTGCCAACCAAAGTTCAGGTGCCAGGAGATCAAGGATAGAATAACTGTATAATTAATCTTTCTTCCTAGACCATGCAAAGAGAAGAACCTTTGGAAAACTCAGAAACAAAACTTAATCTACACACTTGGAAAGAGCTTTACTATCATTTACCAGCCATGGAGAAAATATGCCTATGATATTAAAAGGTGAGACAAAATGGGGCAGTAGCCTTGACCTGGCTCTGGAAAACCAGAAATTAATAGCAGAAGTTCACACGGTACTTTTTTTTTCCTAACAAATACGTGATCCTCAGGTAAAAGACTGAAAATACTTACATGTATTTCTTTAATACTTTAATTTAATACAATTTAATTAATAATAATTAATAATACTTTAATTGATTATAACTAATATATGTAATATCTTAAATATTTAAAATTTTGTGTAATCAAATCAGATCAGCAATGAAACTACAGCATTATTTCCAACAGATGGCAGCACCAACCTGTAGAACATGTTACAGTATTTTAAAATCAGTATTCATAAATAAGTACTAAATATGGAAGAGCTGCCCATTCTATATCTGAAACCCCCTTTTAAAAGGAAACAAATAATCTTCCATATATGTGTGACTTGGTTTCAGACTCTGTTAGATGCTGGGAATCAAGATTTGTCTAAGTGCCAGACAGTGTCACCATAAAATATCATTTTTATCAAAAAGTACAATCCATTAAACTGCTATCTGAAAGCTCTGATACTGAAAAGCTTTCAAATTCTAGAAATTCCGTGAAATTTCAAGCAACCTGGTTCCCACTGTCACAGAAGCATTCCTAAGGCAGAAGCCCTGGTTCAGGTGAGTCATGCTTAAGAGGGGAAATATTTTTATTACCCTTGCAATTTTGGTCCTATCCTTACCCAGATTCTAGTAACTGATTCTCGGTACTGAGCTTCATGGATCTCAAACCTGTTGTTCATTACAGATCTTCATGTTCCCTGGCTTTGTTCTTTTCAGTGCTGCAGAGCAAATCTAGGAAAACAAAGGCCACAGACAGTTCAATTTTGTGTTGTACTCTCAGAGGACACACAGTTCAGAAGGTCACAAGGCCATTCACTTTGCTCACCTTTCTTTCTCAGTCACAGTTTCTGCTTTCACATTTATTGCTTCTGGTCCATCAGGTCTTTCATAAGCTACAGCTGACTCTCCTCAGCAGGAGCAGAAGAGCTAACAGGTTGCTATGATTTGCCACAAAGGGATGGATCTGCCCCTCAGACCACTGACATCCTGCTCTTGAGAGCAGGACACCTCGTCACTCACCCTCTTCCCCGAGTGTGAGATCCAGAGTGCTCATGCCTCAGATTTGGATGAGTGTCTCCATCCCTCTCATTGTGCCACCTCCTCAAGGTAATCCTGGAAGCACTTGACACCTCAGGCTTTTCACTGCCTCTTGCCTCTGCTGCAACCTCTCAGACTCCCCTCTGGACACCAGAATTACTGTGACAATCATTTGAACATATTAATATATATGATTCTTCCTCTTTATAAATTATATATATATTTTATACATATATATATATATAAATTATAGATATATTTTTTATTTTGTATTTCCTCTTTATAATTCACACTCAGAATTTTACATTTTACCCATCCCTTTTGGTACAATTTATTGTCCAACCCAACCCCATCTCTCCACCACCACCTTCCTGCCACAGTCAAAAGTCATCCTTTCAAAAGCAGTGGCATTTTAAAAGTGCTAGAACTAAAACAAGCTTACCAAATCCAGCATGACTGCAGTACTCTTAAACTGGAAAGCTTAATCCTTAGGGTGATTTGAAGAGAAAACCCCAACATCATTAGGATTTATTAGATCAATCAGTAGTTAAGTGCATGTCAACCACAAAGCACAACCAAAACACTTGCACTCCAGAATGCTGAACAGTGAATTACAGTAAACAAATGTAAATTAATCTTCTGAGATTTCCTGGCTGGTTGGTGGCTTCTGCATACCCCAAAATTAAACATTTCAGTTGTGACCCACAAGGAATTATGAGGGAGAAACTGATGACAGGACAATAAATTTTTGCTCCACCTATTTCCTAAAGTAATTATGTCATACAGAACTTTGGGGAATGGGGTGAATTGAGTGCAATGACTTGTTTCTGTTATTACTGTGCATTTAGCAAATTAGATGCAAGTATATAACACTTTATAAGAAACAAAATACAGGCTTTGATCATTTATATTAAAACCTCACTGCATGTACCACTGAAATCTTTTTGTAGTCTTCTTGTACAACCAACCAAACCAAATAAAAATCAAAATGGTTTAATGTAATTTATTTGAAATGCTTCCAGAAAAGTTCAAGGCCATTATTTAAAAAAAAAAAAAGTCAATACACATTCATTCATTCCTTCTTCTCTATCTGAACATTTTACATTCTTTTTGCTCTTTTTTTCAACATTTTTGCTGAACAACTTCCCTATGCCTTTTCTTTGTAGATTTTTCCTTTCATCTTCACTGGTATATTCTTTCAGCTCTAAAAATGAAGCAGTTGAAATAAATTACAATGCCTGAAACAGAAAAGAAAATTGATTTTTTTTTTAAAAACTATAAATACAGAAATATGTTCTATAGGGTAAAAATGCCATTTTTTTTAAAAATAAAAATACCTTGTTTTATATTGTTTATCATCTTGTCACACTGATTTCTGTAATGCACATCAGCATATATATAAGATACTTAGTAAATTTTATGTAAACTTGTAGAACACAAGAAAAAATATTTTTGGCAATAACTTAGCAGTTTTTCTACTTTTGTTGTTACAAGTACTTTGCACAGGTTATCTTGTGTAATACCAAGAATCATTTAAAATTTGTAATACATCATTTTCATAGCTTACCATACACCACTGGCATTCTTTCTTACAGTAAGAAATAAAATACTACCCAGGGATTCCTGAAAAATAACAGGATGTTCAACTATGTGTTTTAGACTGCATTTAAGTGACTCATCTGCTTCTCATCATTATGAGTAGGTTAAATCAGCCACCAGAAAACACAGTAACATTTCCAATTACAGTACGAAATTAAATGCAACAAAAACTTTTAAAACAAAACTTGAGGAAAGTAAAGAGGATGTAATGCATCCTAAAGGACAAACAATTCCCTTTTTGTTTAAACTCTCTCTACATAATCCCACAGGGTATTTGTAGAGCACCATTTATATAAAATCATCACTTAGTTTTAAAAACCAACTACATGTAATTGTAAACAGACATTTACAGAAAATTAAAAGTTTTAACATTAGTGGTGCTTAAAACCAACAGTGGAGGTCAGTGGAGTGCAAAATGCTGAAGAGGGCCTATTCACAAGCAAAAGCTCCTTTCCATTCTTACAGTTTGGGATAATATATATATATATTATAATATATATATATATGGCACTGAAAGCAAATTACCAGCTTATTTACAAACATCCAGTACTCTCAGCATTTCATTTAATTCAGTGCTGGCTGTAAAGGTTTGGTTGTGGTCTTTCCAGTTGATTATTTTTAGCATTACATGCTTTGAAAAATAAACCATCTTACTATGCTGACCATTTGAAATGTCCATATTTTAGTAAGTTTGGCTGCTGGATCTTAGGACAGTGCTTCATTTTGAAAAACAAATCCCTAAAGAGTCCCTGGTTCCAAGGCCCGCTGTTTATAGTTCTTGCTGATTTAATACCACAGGAGTTTGGATAGGTTATTACAAGATGGTTTTCTTTCCTGTTCCAAGAAACTACTTTTTCTTTCCATGCCTTTAAGAAAACTTATTATCTTGATACCCATCCTGAAATTCCATATTAAGTCCACATCTTCAGCTGCCCCTTTAAAGGGCAAATTAAATACTTAAATATAAGGAAAAGATTATTTATGTAATGCATATATAAATAGTAGTTCAGAAATTCTGTTTACAGCAGGACATTGAGAATAACTGGTCAAGTACCTCTTTCATCCACCTTGGGTGTTCATGGAATATAATCACAGGACATGAGTCACAAGAGATTCCAGCTTATACAGATGGGCAGTTACAGTACGACACTCACAGGTATTAATACAAGAACTGCATTGACATTGTCACAAAAAATATTCTAAAAGTGCTTCTCCGAATGGTTCCATGTATGGAATGCAAATACTGTACAGGTAAGAGACAGATTTTCTTCCAGGAACTGTAAGCTTTTGTCAAACATTGGTTTCTATCTGCTTTTCGCTCTCACAAGAGTTCGTCTGCTCCATGCGCTCGCAGTCGGCGCTGAGCTCGCTGGTGTCCATGCTACAGTCTGACTCACAATCCGACTGCTCCATCTGCTCCAGGGCAGCCTCTCCCTGGGCCACTCTGCGTCCATTGGGTGACACAAGGAAATGTGCTTCCAGCCCACCAGCCTTGCCTGCACACGCAGCCTTTTCCTTGGCCTGGCGGATGCAGTTTAGCCACTGCTGCTTGTTGAAGGAGTCATTGGCTTGAAGAGAGTGAGTCTGGCTTTGGGATCCATTTTGGAAGCTGACTCTAAAGAAGTTTTTGACTGAAAGAAACAATACATATAAAACCCCTGAATGCTTTGGCTGAATGGATTTTTTAATCAAGGAGTATATTTAAGTAACAGAATCTGCACAATCTTTGCCTTAAGGTCAGACCAAAGAGAAGAGTCTGGGCGTCTCCTTGTTTCTGAGAGAAGACCACAGAACACCGCAAGCACTTCTAATAACTTCATATTGCTTGATTAAGTAATTTTGGTTCTGCCGTGCATGAGCTAACCACAAAGCTTAAAGGGAATCAGCAAGATTAAGGCTTCTCCCACACTTTAATGCCTCTCGTTCTACTTCTCTGCAAAGCAGATTTCCAGAACTTCCACTGAATGCAGCACCCTTGTGCCAGCCAAATCTGCCTCATCTCTTCCATTCACTTCACTAATACAGTGGATACATACAAAAACCCCTTGAAGTTTTGACCAGAAGATATTTAAAGGACCCTTGTAATAAAAAAAGCATCTTCATAATATACTTAACTGGAAAGACCCTGAGTACTAAACTGTCTGCCAGCTTAAAGAATTACAGAATAGCAATCAATGTCTCCAGTATAAGGAAAGGCAAAACAGCTGAAGCTCAAGATTTCAAAATACACTTGCTAACTTTGCAGTTTTGCCACTACAATCTGTATGTTCTACCCTTCTCAATTCAGTACAGTAGTAGGTGTGTGGAAAAATTCTATTATTAATATAGTGAGATTTGAGAAAGAATTGAAAAGAAACAACTTAGAACATAATAAACCAGTCTGAAACAAAATTCAATATGTTGGATGGAGCTAATGTTAATTTTAAGAGAGAACATTCGGATGTTGCATTGGCAGGTATCTTAAAGTTATGATGACCCTACATGAGCAAACACAAAAAGCTGTTGTCATACTTCTCTCATTGTTGCTGAATGCTCCACGTATGGATCCACCCAGGCGCACCTCTCCATCCTGCAGGTCCTCCAGCACCAGCTCCCTGACAGGAATTGGCTGCCGGTACAGCTGGTAGCAGAGATGGTCATTGTGGGTCACAGCCCGAGTGATCACCAGCACCTCTTCAAAGAGGAAGACATGCAGTTTCTGTTAAAAGATTAATAGATGATACAGCATTATTCCTTTCCTGAAACATCATTAAACCAAATGGAACAAATAAAGTTCAACGAAAGATGAAAATTGCCAGTTTCTTCCTGCTAATTTGGTACTGTACTACCTGCTTGACCTTCATCAGGTAAACCAGGGAACAGCACCTGTTTCATCTTTCCCTCTCAGCTGTGTGGTGAGACAGGACTCTTCCACTGTATTGCATAAACATGCTCCATAGAAGCAATTCCAGAGATGAAAAATGCACTGCTTACTTTGTTGCTTTGTAAAA